GTTATTATCAGTGACTTAGAGACATGGACACTAAATGCACCCATGGAACAAAAACAATAAAAAGAAAGAAGTATGTTGAACATCAGCCTAAGAGATAAGGAGAACAATAAGCTTAGACTAAACCTTAATTTAAAGTTTGAAAGATATTTTCTGTTTTATTTAAAAACACAAATTTTCTAAAACACAAATTATTCATTTGAGTCGATAAAAATAACAAAAAACATGGAGCACAGGCTATAGCGATCATTTGGGAACAATAATAACGTGTACCAGAATTTGCCACGATTTTGTTAGCTTACCTTCCTTAGAATTGACCACTCTTCATGTAGGCCTAATACACCAACTGCTTTGTCAATCTCCGATGGGACGTGCTCATTTATTAAGTGGCATGTATATTAACATAAAATTATATTGTGCCATAACTTCATGCTTATCTTTTAAGTTCCAATCAACCCTTATCTAGCTATGTTCGTGTGCAAAAGATAAAACATTTACGTACGGTAAACAGTCTCTATAGGGAAAATACGGGTTTTTAGGCCATCGTAATGGGACAAGACTAATGGTATCGTTTTTCAAACCGAGGCTTGTCAGAACTGGGTGCCGCCATGGTGGTCTTTTTCTCAAGACAGAGAATGTTACCTCATTAATGCGTATTCATCTTATTCATTACCGATAACCCAATAAACAGACAAAATTTAGTCGCTGCCACTAAAATAATGTCAGAACAAACGCGCTCTTATCCCGACATGCTTTGCGTACGTCTTGTCTGTTTCCCGCGCGAGGCAGAGGCACGCGAACACAGCCGGGGACCAGCGAAGAGCACACGATTCAATTAGTGACTCGTTATTATTTACTTCCGTCGACTCAAAGATTGTAGTTAATATAAGTCTCTACACTAGTAAAAGATGATACGAGTAGTTAATGAAAACTTTGAGCATACCATGTAACCCAACATAAGGTCAAGTTTATTGAAGTTTTGGTGAAATATTTTGATTTTTGTCACCGATAATTGGGCTTGTGGTTATTTGTTTTGCTGCGATAAATTATCACTAGCCTACACACTCCTGTAAATATCTCTATAACTTTATAATTTGATTCTGCAACACTATAAAACATTAACCTAGACCATAGAACAATGGTTTCGGACATTCTTTCGATTGATACACCGTTGAGATCACTGGAGGCAAAGAAAAACCTTGCGGTACACTACGACGAACGTTGGCATTTTCCATTTAAGCGACCGGTGTG